AAGAATATGGGAAGAGGGAGCAACAAGAAAGGGTCCTCGGCCCCCAATCCTGAGAAACATGCAGTAGCAGACACAGCACCAATAGACATAAAGCGCTATCTCCAGAGCCTCATAGATGAGTTCAGGAATGAAGTTATTAATGACCTGAAGCAAGACATAAGCAGAATAATTAGAGAAATGCTAAGCCCCGCCTAAGAAAAAACAGATGGTGGAATGGAAGAACAGAAAAAAAGGGGAGAATTGTTTGATGGAGAAAATAGAGAAAACATAGAATACGTGAAGCAGGTTCAAAGAGATTACCAGGAAACTAAAGCTATCGAAAACTGGCATAACAGCTTGAAAGAAACTAAGGACAGATTATCTGAACTGGAGGGCAGATTTGTAATATGGGAGCATGAAATGAAAAACTTCTTAAAAATAACAAAAAAACAGCAACAATACAAAAGCTAGAAGATGATAAGAGGATCTATAACTTAAGAATTAAGAACATAAAAGAAGGAATGGGGACAGAAACAAATGGACTACAAAAGCTATTCACTGAAATAATCCAAGAGAATTTTCCTAATTTAGCAAATGGTAAAGATACTCAGATATATGAGGCATACAGGACTCCAGCCACCTATAACCCAAACAGAGATACACTCAGGCATATAATAATCAAAATTCCAGAAATCCAATATAAGAACAGAATATTAAAAGCCATCAGAAACAAGAAACAGATCACTTACAAGGGAACACCCATCAGAATTATAGGAGACTTCTCGGCACAAACCATCAAATAACCTCCAGCCAAGATTGATATATCCTGCACAACCGTCCCTAGAAATTGATGGGAAAAAAAGATGCTTCCAGGATAAAGAGGAACTAGGGGAATTTGCAACCACCAATTCAACTCTACAGAAAATACTGTAGGATAGTCTAAAAAAGGAAAATACCAAGATTCCAGAAATAGTGGCAGAGAGGCCACAATGAATGGAGCAGAAAACGAAATGAAGAAGACAAACTGACAACAAACAACAGAAAAAAAGCTCAACAGAAATAAGGCAGAGAAGATCGGATGGTAGGAACAGCTATTTTGGAGAAAACAAGACATAATAGCTAGTGCTGATTTAGTATCATCTTGTTTTGAAGTCCCATCAAACTTGTATTCTTTTGTCTCCATCGGTCTTAAAAGATTGTATCTTATTGGATTTTATTATATATGATAATATAAGCAAAAACTTTTATAGACAAGGAGTTTATACAGAAACCATTGTTCATTTTCTGTTAATTGGTTCTAAATACCCTGTAATAATGTCATTCTCTTGAATGGTTTTATAGTGTCTTGATATGTTTGGTGCTACAGTATACGAAGTTATACTCAAAGATTTCAAGGAAAGAGACACTATGGTAACTATTTTTATGTCAGGATATCTTGTGGTAAAACACTATTTTGCTTAAATGGTTATGTTTTGACCTGCGCTGTTCTGTTGTTATGCCCTCTTTTATCTCAATCCCCCCCTTTTTTTAATTATTTACTTTTTTCTTTTTATTTTTTTAAGTAAGGGAAAAATAAATAAAAAATAGCAGGATACATTATAGTAACCTACTTTGATTTCCTATTAACGTGATTTGAAATCCTGTATTGCCCTCACCATCTTGTTTTGACTGATTTTCCTCTGTTCTGCTTTGCTTGATAGTACCAAGTTCGAAAGTATAGGCATAACTGTGAAGACAGTAAGGATCATTATGACACCGATTCCGGTTGACTGTTATTTTCTTTTAAAATCCTGTAATGTCTCCAATGCTTTGGTTTTATTCTTTACTGGTTAGTTCAATTTTATTATAACTGGCAATTCTTCTTAAAATAGCAAGAGGCAATATGGTAACCATTGTTGATCACCTTATATTTTGTTTTTACATTATCTATTATGTCCATCCTTTTGATTTGACTGACTCTGTTCTGGTATGTTGCATTTGGTTTTACTCTCTTCAAAAAAAGTAATAAGAACTGTGGGAGTAACAAAATGTGTAATTGTCATTGTACGAAAGAAAAGAAAATGCTCTAAAGGTTACAACTGCATATATGTTTAAGTGTATAAGATAGATAACCATATTACTGAGTGTTTTTCGGATCATTGAACAAAACTGTTTGCACTCTCACTGTTTGAAAGTCCCCTATATGCTTCAGTTTTGTAACTTGAACAACTATTTCTAAGATGAGAATATGTAATCTATTAACTAATGATTTCTTACTGTTTATTTTTTAAATTTTGTATTACTTGTACCCTTTTTCTGTTTTTTTCTTTCTCCTTAAATTAAAAAAAGTGATCTCCAATATTCACAAACCACTTCATTTTTACTCCTCAGAGCTGAGCTGCTTTATTCCAGTTTCTGAAAGGCCTGGTGGTAGTAAACTGTTACTGAAGCTGAGAAAATAGATACAAAGACCAGCAAAATTTCTTTCCACCTTCTCTGAAAGTCATTTAGCCAGGAAAAATCACCTCAGCATATTAGGTTTCCTGAGACCCAGTCTTGAGATGGACAGGCGCAGTTAAGGGCACGCTCAGAGCTGTCCTGGCCAGGTTTGGGGCCTCTGTGACCTCAGCACTCTGCTCCGCAAGTTCAGGTAGGAAGGTCTGAGTCCGAGGCCAACGTGGGAGAGTGAGTTGAACACCAGCCTGTGCCACAAGGGAGGCTCTGTCTTCCAAACAGAAAACTTATTTTTAATTAGTAAAAATTTTCATGTTTATTTTTTTCAGTCTACATGTCTTTTAAATCTTCTAAAACTTTATTTTAATGTAATGCAGGCAGATATTAATAAATATCAAAACAGATTCTATAAAAAAACTTCATAACAAAATAGAGAATAACAGTGCTTAATATACTGTGTATTATGGGGGTTTTTTTGTCTCTGCTGTGACATGTGTCAAAATTTCCTTCTTTTTAAAGACCAAATGATGTCCCATTAAATTCTTATGCCACCTGTTTTTTACCCGTTCATCCATCAGTAGATATTTGAGTTGCTTCTCCTTTTAGCGGCTATAACATGGGTGTACAAGAGCCTTTGTATTTTTGGGATGTATATTCAGAGCTGGGATCATCAGATCATTTTGGTGATTCTGTTTTAAATTTTTTGGGAACTTGCATTGTGGTTCCCACAGCACTGGTACCAGTTTAAGTTCCCTGTCAGCTCTGCTCTGGCGGTGCCTCATCGTTACTCTGATGCACAGGTGCCATCCTACTGAGTGTGAGCCAGTTTTCCCTTGTGATGTTTATTTTGATTCCATTTTTTTAATGCCTAGACATATTGAGTATCTTTTCATGTGCTTACTGGCCAATATTATAACTCCTTTAAGAAATGAATGTTCAGATCCTTTGCTCATTTTGGTTTTTGTTTGCCTTTTTGGGATGGGAGTCTCACTGTTACTCAGGTTTGTTTTGAACTCTAGGACTCAAGCAGTCCTTTGAAACTGGGACTATAGGTACATATCAGGCTTTCTTCGCTTGTTTTTAAATTAGGTTATTTAAAAAAATAAATAAGTTTATTTGTTTGCTGATTTTCATATATTATTGCAGTGTATAAACAACACAGAGGACAGAACAAACCAGTTGCTAACACCAGGCTTGTCAGGGTGAAGCCCAGGAGAAGTGCTTCCTGTTTGCACTTGGCATTGGACAGTCTAACATGTCCCTTGTGCTGGAGGCAGGTCCTCTCCCTGGAAGCCAAGACTGGCTTTCCAGCCACTCCATTTGCTTAGTTTCTCGTTTCTAGTTTGTGGAGTTTTCCTGTCCGTTCCCAGAGAGGTATTGCTTTTTTCTTTCTTCACAAGTTTTCATTTTTCGGGTACCTGTTCAAGGTTCCAAAGAGGCTCCATTACCTGCTCTTCTAGAAAGATCTCCTAATTAGTTAAAAAAATTTTTTTTCAATTAAATTTTTTAACAACACTTGACCCTACTTGTTATTTTGAGACCTATTATCAAAGTTTAGCTCTTTGAACTTTTGGATGCTTGTGGCAGTGTTCCATATAACTTAAATTCTGAACAATTTGAGAAAAATATGATAGGATTTCTTCCCCTTAATTCACTGTGAATTAATTATAAGTGAATTTATTATAAATTTCCCACAGTGTAGTAGAAACCACGTGGACTTTGGAGTAAAACATAATGGACTCCATTATAGACAGCTGTTTGACTAGAGTAAATCAACCTTTGAGTTTTGTTCCTCAGAGGAACTGGAAATAATAACCATACTTAACATTTTACTGTTGTAGGAATCCTATCAAATAATGTTCTTAAAGATTTTTAGTTGTGTTTTGTTGTTTGGGGGTGTTAAGACAAGGTCTAGCTGGGTAGTTCAGGCTGGCTGTGAACTCAAAGCAAGCTTCCTGCCTCAGCCTCCTGCGTACTGGGATTATCACATGCTTTCCCACATCTGACTAGTTTTTTGATTTTTTGTTAATCAACACTTCTCTGCCTGTCCAAAATCATGACAGCATGTCCATTTTCTGGTAGTGTTTTCAGCATATCTCCTCTGTTCTTTAGGGATCAGAGGATCCCAGTTACTCTTTAACCCCACTTCGGAGTGGGGGAGGAGCTGTCTTAAAGAATTCATGAGCTTTACAATAAGTGAAATGACTCCTCACTTCCCTGTTTCCACGTGGCAGGCCAGGCTCCCTGTGCCTGTCTCCTGGTAGAACAGGTGGATGTTACCAGCCATTGTGATGCACATTTTTGTCCTTCACTTCAGACACCATGATAGGTGCATACTATGAGACCTTGCTTTGTGAGTGTATAAGACCAAGAAGTAAATTAGCTCTGAGCTATCCAGTGACCCCCACAGGGTTAGCATTTCCTGTTTCCTTGCCATTGGGTACTTACTCTGTGACTTCGTGTTTGGGCAGCTTTCCCCTGGAGAGAAGACTGCAGTATGCTGACAGAATTATATGTCTGGTCTCTCTTCGGAGCCAGCAGACTTGCTGCTTCCTTGGGGAACGTCATTCTGTGGATTTGATTTCCAGGTGATCTTAAAGGGCAGCAAGGAGCGCAGCACTGGGGCCACTGGGGTGAACGCCGATTCCTCCCGCTCCCACGCCATCATTCAGATTCAGATCAAAGATTCAGCCAAGAGGACCTTTGGCAGGTGAGCTGCCTTTCCTCAGTGTGACTTAGAAATATTTGTTATCAGCAAAAGGACACCTTGCCATCGTGGGCTCTTCAGTTTGGGAACGCTGAGTGCAGTTGTTGGCCCTGAAATAAATCACTGTACTAGAGTGCCATCAGCTGATTAACCATGAAGCAATGACCTATTGTTGGTCCCCCTAGGTTATTCAAAGGAACATTGATTGCTTCTAACGTGAAACACAGTATCAGCCAAGAAATAACAGGGAATGCGTCTCAGACAGCTTACAGGCCATAACGGGGCTGGAGAATTAATCCATTCTGAAAGAAGCCGTAAGACAATTGTATATGTTCATTGCTTCTCCAGTGTTGTCTTAGCACACTCTCTGCCATACTGATGGATGAGCCTGTCTCACCTTGAGTAATGAATCTGCTTTATTTTCCTTTCTTTTCTTCTCTTTTCCATCTTTCTCTCTTCCTTTTTTCTTTCAATCTGTATTAGGGTTTTACTAGAGGAAAACAGATATAACATAAAATAACAAATGTATAAGAAGTTACCAAAAAGAGCTGGGGATTTAGCTCAGTGGCATAAGCATCTTCCTGGCAAGTGCGAGGTTGTGAGTTTGATCCCCAGTTCCAATAAATAAATAGATAGATAGATAGATAGATAGATAGATAAATAGATAGATAGCAAGCTGGACTTACGATGGTCAGCCACAGAGTTGGATGAGGAAGCGTGCAGAGGGTATCTGCATACCACACGCCAAAGAGTTCAGTCCGGGGTCTGGAGTTCACCCCAGCATCCCACAGGCCGGTGAATCTACCACAGAAGGCCTAAGGGTCTGTACTGGAAGCCAGGAGAGATGTCCAAGCCACAGGGGAAGACTGGAGTGCCTCCTCCAAAGAATGGAACTCAGTCCTTCCTCCTTCCCTTTTACAATCCAGGTGATGAGCCACCCTAGGTGGGTCTTCTACACCCTAGGGTGTAGAATTGCTAAGCCACTTTAAATGTCTCAAGTTGACACAGTTAAGCAACCAGTACCCCCTCCTTTCTTTTTGCTGCAAAATCAGTCCTCAGAAGTCTGTATTTAATTGTCTAAGTGGTCACCCAATTGATTTGCATTGTGGTCCCTGAGCCATAGGAAGAGTGCATTGTTACTTACAGTCATACTTTCTTAGATTATCAGAGCTGGTGGAAATGTCTCTGAACAGTGCCAGCATCACCAGACAGTTTAGAAATTTATGATGTTTTTAGAAAATCGACATGATAGTCTGTCTTTCCTGAGAATATTCTAGTGTAAATTTCTTCCTAGGGTCACAAAATGTCTAATGGTGTAAAAATAAATCAGAGCTTTGAGGAAGTAATTGTGCTGTCTTTTCTCTAGGATCTCTTTCATTGACTTGGCTGGCAGTGAAAGAGCAGCGGATGCCAAGGATTCAGATAGACAGACGAAGATGGAAGGTGCAGAAATAAACCAGAGTCTTCTGGCTGTAAGTTGCTCAAAATCTAAAAAACTTTCTTGAGAGATTTGTGTCTGGCATGTAGCCGGAGTGGGCGACGTGGGGTGGAATCTGCAGAGCAGCCGGTGTGCTAACGTATCCTCATATATCAAAGATAAGGACACCTTTTGAACATACCCATAATACCATTACCAGGTGTATCTTTTATCCAATATTATAATTTCTCCTGAGTTCCCATAACCGCCTTTTATAGTTGAATTGTTCAAATCAAGGTACAAACAATATTCCATATCACTTCTTCCTCATTTTTTTTCTTTCCCCCTATTATTTGTATTTGTCTTCTTTATTAAAAAATTGATTATTTGCCTGTAAGTAGATGTGGCTCACTGACTGGCTTCCCATGTTTAGGTTTAGCAGTGTTCCATCCTGTGTATTTCCTGTAAAGTGGTTAAAATCTACTCTGAGGGGCCAGGGATTTAGCTCAGCAGCAGAAGCCCCTGCTGGGCAGGTGGGAGGTTGTCAGTTCAATCCCCGTACCAAAAAAAAACTATGCTGTGCAGTGTAGTCAGTCTGAATTTGAGATATGCTGTAAGTATAAACATGCACTGGATTTTAAAGACTTTCTTACCGAAAAAAATCATGTAAAATATCTCATTGATATTTTTTCATACTTATTACATGCCAAAGTAATACTTTGAGTGTAATAGGTCAGATAAAATATACAATTATCATTCATTTCACTTGCCATCAACCATTTCTTCAAGAAGCCCTGAAACTATTATGTTATAAGCATTTACTATATGCTAACAATAAATTTTCTTTTCTCCACCTTTTAGATTAGTATTCTTAGGCAAAATGAGTTAAAAACACTGGCCATGGATACCGTCTAACCAAAATTGTTTGATTCTGATATCTTAAAGTCTGGTCCTCCAACTATGAAACCTGAAGGCAGCTGGGCATGGTGATACATGCTTGTAACCCTACCACCACTGTGAGAGGCTGAGAGGAAAATTACAAATTCAAGCCCAACCTGGGCCACTTAAGTGACTTAGTAAGACCCTATCAGGCATTAAAAATAAAGCCTGGGGATGTAGCTCAGCATGAGGGTTCTATCCTGGAATGAAGGGCAGATAGAGAGAAACCTGGAAGGGGATGCTTCTAAAGTCATACAGGCCTTGGGAGTTGGCTTGATCCATAGCATAGAGAGGGGCCTGGGAAATAGATCTTCTAGAACACAACCAAAATCTGTGTTTTGACCAGGCATAGCTGTGTATGCCTGTAATTCCAGCACTCAGGGAGCTGAGGGAGAAGGATTGCCATGAGTTTGAGGCCAGCTTGGACTCCATAACGAGTTCAAGACCAGCCTGAACTATATAGCAAGACCCTATTTCAAAAAAAAGATCTTGTGTTTTGTGAGTATGCCAAGGAGTCGCTTGTTTCTCCTGTTATTCCCTTAGCTCCTTCTTAGTGTTTAGTCAGGGTTGTTGACCATTTCATTCTGGCTCTAATTTCAGCGAGGCTGAAAAGGACCCACACTCCTAAGTACTAGTAGCCTAGGTTCGTGTATGTAAAGGCCAGGTGTAACTTAGGGGATAAGTTTCCTGTGGACGTAACATCTGTGAGTTCCTTACTTTACATGTGCCATTTGATTCTCCATGTTGCAGCTGAAGGAGTGTATCCGAGCCCTGGACCAGGAGCACACCCACACTCCCTTCAGGCAGAGCAAACTAACTCAGGTAAAGTCAGTGTGAGCTTCATGAATTAAGATAAACCTCTCCTTCTTTAAAGGAAAAAAAAGGTAACCCTTGAGTCTTTGTGGTTTATTCATTTTCTTCCATCCCTTGTTCATCAGGAGAGGCAGCTCTGTTCTTCTGCTCAGCCTTCCTATTATTTCCAGATAAAGAAACCTTACTGGCAGGCGTGGTGTCACCTCCCCACAGTCCAGTCACGCTGGAAGCCGAGGCAGGAAGACCACTTGAGCCTGTCAATTTGAGATCAGCCTGGGCAGCATAGCAAGACTCCATCTCAAAAAGCCAAAACAAACCCCAAAACTGTATCATCAAGGTCTGTTGGTACAGGCCTGTAACCTCAGCACTGAGGAAGACTAAGACAGGAGGATCACAAGTTCAAGTCCCACCTGGGCAACTTAGCAAGACCTGTTTTGGAAAAAATAGAATTCTCACTCCCTACCTACCTTCAACCCCTTCATCCCTCCCTATTACAAAAAAATAAAAATTTTTAAAAGGGGTTGGGAGCCAGGCATGGTAGCATATGCCTACAATCCCAGCTCTGGAGAAGCTAAGTCAGGAGGATTGCTACAAGTTCAAGGCCAGCCTGAACTGCACAGTGAGACCCTGTCTCAAAAAAAAACAAGGAAGGAGAAAATCAGAAAAATTATGTAAGTACTAACTGATTATTCTGAGTAGTGGCAATAGATGTATTTTATTTCTTCTATTTTTTTTTTTTGTATTTTAAAGAACAAAATAAAACAAAAAAGCAAATCAGAACAGTACACTGCAAGTGTTACAAGACTTCACAACAAGACAACAGGAAGTCAGCAATGGCTACCATAATGTCTCTTGTTCTCTTCAAAATAGCTGTTCATACCTTCACATACAATAAAATCAAACAAAACAAAAGAATGAAAGCATTATGGGACTTCAAAACAGGATAATAGGAAATGAACAATGGCTGCCATAATACATCCTGTTATCTGTCTGTGCTATCAGACACAGTAAAATCTAGCAAAACAAAACAGAATAAAACCAAACCTAATAAAATTATGAAAACAATACAAGAATTGAAAATGAAATAATAGAAATTAACAGTGGTCATCACCTTCCCTTTTTAGGCGTTTCCTCCCCTATCATTCTCATAATATCTATTGTGCTTTTTGGATCCCACTAACTCCTTCAGTTTTTTATGCTACTACAGAGATAACTGTGTTCACCCATGAGTCCAAACCATTTCACCCATGAGCATGATCTCCAGTTTACCTATAAGAGCCTTGAGATTATCCTCCTTTACAGCTGGGTAGCTTTCCATTGTATGAAAATACCGTACCTTTCTTATCCCTTCTGCAGTTGATGCTCAAGTAACCCCTGATTTTTTCTGATCTCCTGTTTTTTCCCCCCAATATCTCACTATGTAGTTCAGACTGGCCTTGAACTGACCTTGTAGCCTATGCTGGCCTCAAATTCACAGTGATCCTCCTGCCTCAGGCTCCCGAGTGCTAGGATTATAGGCATCACCACCACACCTAGCCTTCTTTCTGTTTTTCTGCCCTGAAAATGTCTGGGGGAAAGTAGTAGGTACTAAGTCAGTGGCTGCTTTAGTGGCCCTGGAGCACAGCATGGGGAGTGGTCTGCATAGATGTCACCCGGGAACTCTGGGTCTTCCATCTTCTGGGTCCCTTTCAGCACTGTGTCCTGTGCACAGTGGAGGGCAGCTGAGGGACTGGGAGGCCTTGAGATCTTACTAGAATCCAGGGTAGAACCCACAGTAACCCCAGCCCATGACTGTTGGCATTGGTGATCTCTGGTTACTTTGTCTTCTCAAGCTAGGGACCCAGAAACCAGGTACTCAGTCCTAATTCTGACTTGGTCTAATTTTTCTAAAACAAGTTCCCACGCCCAGAAAAATGTGCTCCTATTTCATTAAAGAACAGTAATTCCAGCAGTACATCCAAGTGAAATGGTTAAAGTTATCTTAAAATTCCGCTGCACCCAGAGGTGCTGCTGTTGCATTTTGGTGAACATCTCTGCGTATGGACGTGGCACACAGACCCACCCATGGTCACGGGGTCATGTGCTTTATCCTTCAAAGGTTTGTTTTAAATGTCTTTCTCTGTTCCCAAATACAAAGGTACATAATCATTTTAATGGTTATATTACATTCAATTTATAACTAGTTTGCTTTATAGACTTCCAGATTGTTTCTAAAATTTATTATTATAAATAATATAATATCTAGTACATCTTTTTGTGTTTTAGTCAAATGAGTAATTATCTTTTTGGAGTAAAGTCATAAAAGCCAGGTATGGAACACATGCCTATAATCCCAGTATTTGGGAGACTGAGGCAAGAGGATTGCTGAGTGTTTGAGGCCAGCCTAAACTACACAGTGAGACACTGTCTGAAAAAACAAAAGGTAACCAGTATCCCTTTGTGACTTGGCTTCATTTGTTTACCTGCCTTCTGCTTTGGACAGGTCCTGAAGGACTCTTTCATTGGCAATGCTAAGACATGCATGATTGCTAACATCTCACCAAGTCATGTGGCCACTGAGCATACGCTGAATACCTTGCGCTATGCGGACCGGTAAGTTACCCCCACAAGGCAGGGGGTGTGTATGTCTCCCACACACACACACACACACGCATCTGACGTTGAACTCCATGCGCTCTTCTTGGAGCCAGTGGTGCTCTGAAGCGTTTAGTAGACCCTACTTTTGCAAGTGCGACAGAGACCTCCTGAGTACCTGGCCTGTGTCGGCCTCTTCCTGTGGCAACTTTGGCATCTGCAGACACCTCCCATCCACGTTGTGTCCACATGTGTCTCTCACAGTTGCTAAGAGATTGATTGTCTGGGTAGGAAAAGGCACTACCAGTAGCTAGTAACTAGAGACCAGAGATGCTGCTGAACATCCTGCAAGGCTTGTAGCAGTGCAGCCCCTACAAGACAGAATCACCTGATACAAAGTGTCAGTGTGCTAAAGTTGCAAAATCCTAGGAGTAGACAAGTCGTTTTTCCTTTGATAGAACTTGCATGATCCTGCTTATTTCTAGAGGTTTTGTTTGGTGAAATACCAGTAGGTTTAAGCAAACTCATCTTCCCAGAGGAGCCTGCAGGGTGGTTTGTAGGACTGAGGCCTCTGTGGAGTTGCAGGTGAGTGGTGGAAATCAGCCCCTGGGTTGGTTTATCCTCAGGAAGCACAGCATGGGCCTTGCCTGAACACAGTGCAGTTATGACACTCACGTCCCCATCTTGTCCCTCATGTAGAGCTGCAGTAGTTTCCAGAACTCCTAATCAAGAATGTTGGCCATGTGCTTATACTCTTAGAGAAGTTACTGGGTTTTTTAAATTGAAGTATGGAGGGATAGTTCATGCTAAAATAGAATATACTGTTTTCCTGTTATTTTCTCCCAATCTTTGTATGTTTTTGCTGTTTTTTTTGTTTCTCATAAAGCTATAGAACAGGAATTTCAAAGCCTACAAGAACACACATTTAACATCTAGTGCTCATTTACAGGGTCAAAGAACTAAAGAAAGGCATTCGGTGCGGCCCTTCAGCCAGCAGTCGGAATCGGACATCTGGAAATGCCTCTCCAAAGCGGGTCCAGAGCTCTCCTGTAGCCCTGCCAGGGGACAAGTGTTCTCCAAAAAAAGTCAAGCTGGGGTTCCAGCAGGCAGTCACAGTGACACCTGGCTCCACAAGGGCAAAGTCCCACCCTCTGGCTAGCCACCCCCCCAACATTCCCTGTGCTTCTATACCTAACGTTCTTGGTAAAAAGGGCAGCTCCAGACGGAGTCCTTCACGGGACTGGGTCATGCAGAGCAGCCCTGTCAAAGAAAATGTGCGCTCTGGACATTCGGCCAAAAAAAGGGCAGAAGAATCAGCACCACTGTGCTCTGAGAAAAGTCAAACTGGTAACAAGTCTGCACTTGGCTGGGGACGCAGGGCCTTGAGCCCAGGAGAAGGTCCTGCACATGGCAAGCTGCCCGCCAAGGGCAGGAAGGTGCAGACTGTGCAGCCAGTACAGAAGCAGCCTGTGGCACGTGCTGAGCTCTCTTGTGGCAATAGCTACCGCTTAGCAGGGGGCATACCAGCCAGGCCTGCCCCTGGAGCTTGGACAAATGTTCCTCCTCATCAGAAGGAAAGGGAGGAGCATCTGCGTTTCTATCACCAGCAGTTCCAGCAGCCACCTCTCTTCCAGCAGAAGTTAAAATACCAGCCACTGGACAGGTTCTTATGCCAATACAGGACCCCCGAGGGTCAGCTGCAGGACAAAACTCCTCCCTCCCATGCCTGCCCTGAGAACCAGGATGGAGCTCACACTGAGGACCTTGATGACAGTGACTTCAGTGAGGATTCTTTTTCACATCCCTCCAGCCAGAGGGCTGCAAAGCAGAGAAGCGCCCTGGAGAAGAGTGAAGGTTCATTCTTCCTTCACCAGAAGGGAGAGCAGAGTCCAGACAGGCAAACAGCAGAAAGGCCACAGATGCTGGATTTTAGCTCTGGGACAGATGGAGATGAAAAGGCTCTAACTGAGAGGTGGATGTACCCCGGAGACTGCACCGGCCAGAGGAGACCAACATTCAACCATCAGCACAGCCCAAGCCAGCTGTGCTTGGCCTGGAACAGAGTAGAGGATTGTACCTCCTCGGAGCCGGCTCTCGGGGGCAACCTGGCTGCACAGCCTTCCTGCTTACCGGCCAGGCTTATATATGCCCAGAAAAGAAGTGATGGCCCAGCCATGGACCTCAGACAGGATACTTTCAGAAGTGAGGTTCCTGGAGAACCTGAGGACAACTCACCATCCCCGGAAGATGGATCCTCTTTTTCTCTATCCCACATTGTAGCTCCTGGATCCCCAGACCAAGGAGACATAGATACCACACAGCTGAGAGAAGTCAGCGAGAAGAGCCCAACCCAGGTGACCAGAACAGCGGCAAAGAATAACCCTTTCCAAGGAGAAGACGCTAGAGGGCAGTTAGGTGCCTGCTCTGAACAGGCATCAGGACAAATGGCTCCCCTTACCTTGTCCCTCCTAGAGACTCCAGATGCTGATGGCCATTCTCTGGAGCAGCTGGCCCAGGACAGGGCTATGCACAGTCCAGTGGTAGAGAGTGCAGGGCAGCCAGCCATGGGCTGTACAGTTTCGCCCAGCCACCAAGAGGCAGCCTTGCCAGTACCTTCGGCAAGTGGGCGCCTGTGGCTCTCCTCCTCTCCCCCTGACAACAAGCCTGGCGGTGATCTTCCAGCTTTGTCCCCATCACCCATCCGTCATCATCCACCTGACAAGCTGTCCAGTAGGGAGGCTGACCAGAGACAGGCCTGCCAGAGCAGGGGGCCCTCACTCTTCTCCCAGGAACTTGTGGGCAGTCAGCAGTGTGATGCCAACACTGAGCAGACAGGGCTGGCTCGCTGCTGGGACCTCCCTGGAAAGCCCTGCTCTGCCACACGGACTGGGGTACACCATTCTGGATCTGCACTTGCCCCACAAACAGGAAGTTGCGACGGGGCTGATCAACCCTGGGGCCAGGATAGAAAATACCCTTGGGCGCTCAGTTGGCAGGAGCTTGGTTCATCCACAGACCGCATGATGCCTTGCAATGAAGAAGACACCACATGGCTCAAGCACAGGCCAATTTCAAGGTGCCTAGTATCACCAGACTCTCTCCTGGTTCCCAGCTGTTCTCCCAAGACTGCAGGGGCGCTCTGTCAGCCCACCCTGGAGCAAGCACAGTAAGTTGGATTCTCTCCCTAAGATTCTCCCTAAGATTCTCTCCCATTGTGGTGCATGCTTGTAATCCCAGCACTCTTGGAGGCTAAGGCCAGATGTTCACCAAGTTCAAGCCCAGTCTGCAGTTTAGCAACTTATCAAACCTCACCTCATAAAAACATACAGATGACAGCCCCTTTAGCACCCCCCACTCTCCCCAGTTAATATTTTATCATGAAGAGAAGGCCGAGCAGCTCTGCCTAAGGAGCAGCTTGCCTCCAGGTGGACAGTCTCGTGCTCCATGATCTTCAACTTCTAGCTTGTATCTCTTGTTTCGGTCCAGGAATCTCCACATGAAGTAGAAATAAGAGCAGACTTTGTACCTGCAGTGGTCACAGCCTTGACAAATTTTCTCAGAGAAAGCTGTGGGAAAGCGGCAGTTCCCTGGGAGGGGGAACATTCAGTCCTGTCCCTCAGCATCACTGCATCAGGGACAGCTTGAGAAAACCCTGTCTCTTCCTGCACCCTTGACTACAGGCAATAGGGTGAGGGTGGGGGGCAACACTGCTCAAATCCTTGACCGTTTTGGACAGAAGCAGCTCTGAGCCTGGAAACAAGTCTCTGCTTCAGGAAGTTGTGCCTGAGGAGGTCCAGTTTCTTTCTGGTTTTCTCAGGCAGGTGGTGATCCGCGCACACCGGGAACAGCTGGATGAAATAGCTGAACTGGGCTTCAAGGAAGAAACACTGGTGAGCCAGCTGGCTTCTCACGTAAGTAGCTTTGACTGGACTCGGGCTGCTGGGCATTCGCCTGTGGGTGGTTTGCTGGCCACATGCGCACTGTGGTACGTGCTGGTAAAGCTCTGCTGTGACACAAGTAAGGCCTTGTGCCTCCTCTGAGACAGTGAGAGGGTCCAGATATAGCCAGGAGACAGTGCCCCACTGCTAGCTCCCAGGATGCAGAGTTCCCACCTATCCTTACTCGCCCGTGCTTCCTTGCAGTTGGTGGGGCCCCCCCATGACTGGAGGAGCAGCGGCTCACTGGTGGGGGAAGACCCAAGGCCTTTCTGCCTCCTATATAAAGTGTGCTGAAGGCAGAGAAGTGGGCCCTACCTGTACCCAGGCAACTGCACTCCCAGTGGGAGGCGGTCCTAGGTTCTGGAACTTTCCTCAAGAGCAGGGGCTGGAAAAGATGACCTGGCAGAGGACCAATGACTGCTCAACCTGTCCTGTTTCCTTTCTTAGGATTTTGAAGATTTTGTTGCCCAGCTAGATGAAATCATGGTTCTGAAATCCGAGTGCATCCAGAGTCTGAGGAGCCAGCTGCAGCTGTACCTCACCTACCAGCGGCCCTAAGAAATGTGCTGTGGGACAAGGTCTCATCCCAGGTGGTGGGGACAGTGCAGGAGGGGCCTATGCGAGGCTTTTGGGGGCTTAGCCAGGGTTGAGCCAGTTCTTCCCACACACACCAGAATCTGCTCCCTGGGGCCACTGTCCCCCTCCTCCATTCAAAGCTCAGGAGCTCCTGTAAGAAGGGAAGGGCCATCCTGAGGACCTCCTGTCCTTCCCTTTGCTTGGAGGTCAGAGTATCTGCTATACTGAGCCCCTGCCTATGGGAACACATTTGGGCTAAGAACTCATAAAGGCTCTTAATTTTGAGGATTAGAGAATGAGATGGTGGCCTATAAGAGAATGGTGGCCTATTAGAAAATGAGATGGTGGCTCAGAAGTCATAGAGCCAGGTATGGCGGCACACACCTGTAATCTCAGCACTTGGGAGGCTGAGGCAGGACTGCCACAAGTTTGAGACCAGCCTGGGCCTCAAAACATGGTGAGTTCAAGGCTTGACTGAACTACATGGTGAGACCCTGTCTCAAAAAGCTAAAAAAAATAAAAGTCACAAGCTGGGGAAGATAACAGGCTGAACTCAGGGGCTGAATTATTCCTACATTTAGGAATAATTCACAAGTAACACATGGGCCAAAAAATAACATTGGTGTTAGCAGAGCAGCAGTGGATAGAGCTGTCTGTCAGCCCTTGGATTTCGTTTATGAAAACGTTACATGATGAAGCTTGACTTGCTGTGTCCTTACCAGACGTGGGGCAGGTTTTACACTCCCCTCCCTTCCTGCAGCCCAGTCTGAGACAGAGGCACCTGTAGTCACTCCCTTTCCCTTGTGCTCCTCTGCAAAAGTAGTGGACTGCCTGTTAGCACTCTTGCTTCTGTGGCAGTCCTGGCTCCTGTCTGACTCCACACTTCCCTTAACTAGAGGATCTCAGGCAAGCCCACCTACTGGGCTGACTGTTTCCAGGGACACCCTCGCTGGCCACTGTCCCACTCCCAAGGGCCTGTGTTCCGTGTCTGAGTCTGAGCACAACTGTATTCACCAGCTTGAGGCCTACTGACACACAGTTCACATGGGCGCCTTCACCTCAGTGCTGCTGTTTTTAGCAGAAAGCTTAGGGAAACAGGCAGCTTCCAGGCACCCACATGTTCAGAGGCCACCCTGTGCCCGGGATTCACATGTCAGGCCTTGAAGCCCACTGCTGTGTGAACGTTCACTTCTCTCAGGTAAAAACACTTATAAGGAGTTGGTTTAATCAAGAAGCTGAGCCTGAAAAAGCCACTCTGACAGTGCTAAATCTGACCACCAGAGGGCACCCTGCCTCCACACTCAGGCCCGGCAACCTCCTCCCTTGGTCACTGAACAAGAGACCCTGCTCAGCCAAAGCCCCGGAGGATTAATGAGACAGTATTAAGGCAAGAAATTTCAGGGGTGTGTTCTGTTGGGTACAACAGCACCACTGCGAGCTGAGTGAGCACCTTACACCCAGTCCTGCGTTTGGCCTAGGGAATATAAATGCCTGATTGTGCTCATAGGAATGAGGCTTTTTCTCACTTCCCGGTGAGTAGTCCTGCCTGACCTGTCTGCAGTTAACCTGGAAAGAAGGCATATGACCTTGGCCTGGAGACAAAACTAGGTCAGCACAGATCCTTGTTTGGGGCACCTTTGCAAACCAGAAAGTCAGGCACACCAGGTCCAGTGGGCCTGGAGCTGGAAGAATGGGTAGGTCTTGTTCTAGCCCGGGACCTTCCCACCCACCTGCCCAGCCACTTTCCTCAGTAAAATACACACCTCTTGCCAATAAAGAAGATACCACAGCAAAATCTACCTTTTAGACTTTTATTAGTTCTCTCTGAAGAATCAAAATAGTTAGCAAATTATTTTAGATTCATGAAGACTGTATATCCTATGTATTTAGATCTTTAATGATATACAACATAATATAAAACAAACCAAAGAAACTGACTTCTATGCGTAGGTGAGTTACTCTTGTGTCATCCTAAAGCAGGCCTGGAAGAGAGTTCCAAAACCTGTGGGGTGAGTGTTGGGGACGAGGTCACAGCCTGCTTTCTCTGCTGTGCTGGGAAGGGGCCAAGGATGACTCCAGCTGGCGATGCTTTCCGAAAGCAGGGGCTTTGGAGCCCTGGGCAGCAGAGGCAAACCAGCCCCATGGAAAAGTGCGTTCTCTGGACCTCACGGACACTGCAGAACCAATGTAACACTAAGGTTCTGGTAAAAGGTGAAGATGGACAAACCCTGGAAGAACCTTTCACTTGCACTGGATTAAAGTTAAGTCCACCAGTGCAGGCAGAGGGGCAGCATCTAGCCCTAGAGCAGCACTGAGTTTGGCCCTCCCATTTCCTCCCCACTCCTCTTGGTGACCAAGCCAGGTTCTGACTGAGGACGCAGAGACCCCAGAAAGACCAAGAGAGCCTATCTAGAGGGCCAAGATGGGAAGGACACTTCTCAAAATACAAATAAATTTAATATGGAAGGAGCCAGGATGGGTCATGTATCACATGCCCAAATCTTCCCCACTCCTTTCCAGCTCAAGACCTAACCTCATAGAGACCTGCAAGCACAGTCTCCCCACCTGACCTAGCCCCAAAGGAATCTCCCCACAGGTGGGCTCTCCAGGGCCTCCTGGGGAAGGGTGGTTCCGTGGCAGGGCGAGGCAGGGCCTGGTCTCAGCTGGCTCCGGCCCGAGCCATGAGGTCTTCCAAAGCATTGTCCTGGTCATTGTTGTGTAATAGCAAGGCTTCCTTAATGTCTTTCAGTTCAAAGCCCATTTCCTTAAATTTGCTCATTAACTGGAGAAACTCCATCATCTAAAGGACAGAGGAGAATACAAATTAAAGACTAGCTACACAGCACAGCTGACTATTTGTAGAGAGGGTGTAGGGGTAAAGGAATCCAGGAGACAAGTTCCCGGGCCCCATCCTGCTTTGGGAGCCTTGCCCAGCCCCAACCCATTCTCACTGACCTGTCTTGAGCCCCCCCCCCCACTAGCCATACCCATGCTCCCACCAAAGCAGAATGAACCTCAAAATGGCTAGACTTCCGGGAAATAAAGCAGGTAAGGAGACTGACTAGCAATGGCTCAAGTCAACCAGAAATCTTTTTCACAAGTCAGCTTTCCCTTCGCTGGTATTCTAGACAATCTTTAACTCAATGCTTCATCCAAGCTAAAACACAGGCTGGATATCTGGGAGATTCTGCATTTCAACTGCTTCTGCATATAGTCGCTGGCAAGGAAAGGGGTTGAGGCAAGCACAAATACCAGGGCTACTTTATCTTTTTAAAGGGCTCTCAAGAAGCAAGGTTCTCACCTTTTCTTCTGAACACTGGTGCATTTCCAGAGCCTCTTCCACTAAGAGGGGGTCGAAGCCCTTCTCACAAAGCTGTCCATGTGCAAACAGATAGTCAAGAATCTAAGAAAAGAAAGCAATTAGGACACAGCTGCCATGCCACTGTGCTTCCCAGGCTTACACTAGTGGCATCTGCTTCCGCCCCACCCCACCGAGCCTTCAGTCCTGAGTGGGCCTTGCTTCTGTGCCCTCAGCCGCGCCCAGCACTGCCTGCTGAGCAGGCAGCCATGCCCTTCCAAAAGACAGCTGCCAAAGCCACTCCTGACTTCCAGGATGTTAGCTCCAGTCTGGCAGGATGGGGTTCTAAGAAACACTGCAGGTAAGAAAATGGTGCCCAAGTACAGGATTCAGAACTCCATGGGAAGCCATCGCAAGATGAGCATTTCTAGGCCACGTGTGACTATACACCTGGTTTTGGCTTCCAAAGGGGGTTTGGCTGGAGGAGTCCAACAGCTCCACTACTCTCTAGGCCAGGGGGTGCAAATCTGCAGCATAGCGCTTTGCCAGCCTTGCCACCCTGCTCCGAAGAAGTGCTGCTGGCAAAGCTGCTGGTTTCCTGCTAAAGAACCCTGAGTCCTCGCAAACCCTCAGGAGAGGAGGCTGGCACCACAGAGCCTGGGGCTGTGAGGCACAGGCAAGTCGCCACTCCAGCTTGAGGTCAGAATGCCCTCCTGGCTCAGCACCTGCTCCGCTGCAGGCCAACCACTCACCTGCTCGATATTCTCTCCTTTCTTCTTCATGGCTCTCAGGACACATTCGTATGAATAGCCCATGTTGACCACTGTCTCCACACACTGCCGCTCACTGGGGGACAGTGCCTGCAGTTCACCATAGGCCGGGGGACAACTTGGTATGTTGGGCACTTGTGACACTGGGAAATTCGGAGGGGAGACCTGGTGGCAGAGAAATGGGAGGGTCACAGAAAACATCACTCAGATGACCCAAACCAGGAGTGTGCCACTTCAAGCTCCTGGTCAGTCTGTTTGGAAGAGCAAGGCTGCTAGTCCTCTACGAAGAGAGCTGGAGGGGACAAGCCAAGGAGAGCAATGTTTTGCCCCAGCCTCCACAGTGAGGAAGTGCTCAACAGTACCCAATGCCTGGTCTCAAGAAGTTCTGAGGCCACCCAGAGGACTGACACTTAGGGTGGCAGTGATTCACTGTCCCTTTCCAGGCCCCTGTAGGGGTCCTGAGGGATCATTCAGTGAAATATTGCCACTGCAGAGCTCACACTGGCCAAAGTGTCTACCACTGGGGTCTGAGCAAAGGCCAGTGCTGTTCCCAGGCATGGCCAGTTCGGAGGGTCAGGGTTTTAAGAGGACTCTCACCAGGGCTAGGGATTTAGCTCAGCGTAAGTACCTGCCTTGCAAGCAGGCAGTCATGGGTTCGATCCCTGGTACTGATTTAAAAAAAAAAGGACTCTCACCTTGGCCCTATATCATGTATGTCCTTCATTTCCTGTTACAGCTGCTGTCCTACTGAGCCAGAAAAGAGGGAGTAGTAGCTACCACAGGCCCCAGGACCGCCATGTGGGTTCCATGGCCCTGTCGTCTACTGAGCTGGCTGCAGACAGCCTGCTCCATGCCGCTGGGCCTTATTAGCCCCCATCTAACTTGTGTGCAACTTCACAGCAAAAGGCAGCTCATTCCCAAGCCAAAGGACCCCATCCACCATGGGTCCCCATCTTCTCTACAGTTTAGTTTGGCTCTCAAGAACCAAAAAGTGCTGCACAGCTTTTTAATCTGGGGTACTTTAGGCAGTACACCTACTGTTTTAGAGGCAAGTTCAAAATATTGCTATAACCACTTGGTCATCTTGAACTCTACTGAGGAAACCCATTCTGTTTCTATTTAACACACAGCAGCTGAGTCACAGGGCTGTCCACAGGTCGCTGGGTTGAAGGACAGGCAGCCCAGCCATTAAACATTAACACTGTATCCTGAGGGACAAGCTGCTCTACCTGGGTCACGATTATAAGCATCCAGCGGGGTATGATGATACCACATAATCCTGGCTACTCCAGAGGCGGAGCCAAGAGAATTCTTAGGCCAGCCTGGGCAACTGGCTCAAAAGGGGCTGGGGGTGTAGCACCCCTGGTTACTGGGTAGTATGGTCACCTACCCAGAGAATACCAGTATCCAAAGACAGATATCACTTCTCACAGGACAAAGCCACCCAGGAAGAAGTGGGATTGTTCTCCAAATCCCTGCCTTTGTCATAAGAAATGCCTCCTGAAAGCCTAGTGGGATGCAGGCACAGGCTTCCAAGAAATTGCATGTTCAGAGTTTCCACCTGGGAATCTGGCCATACTACCCTAAGCATGCCTGACTTTGGGATTTAAACGGGGCTGGGAATGATGAACAGTTTGGGGTGGCAGAACTCCCATGAAACACCAGGTGCATGGTAATGCACACCTGTAATCCCAACACTTGGGAGGCTGAGGCAGGAAGACTACTGTGAGTTCAAACCCAGTTTGAAACACAGCAAGATGAGTCTCAAAAAACAAATCCATAAAAATTGTTTAGAATGTGCAGAATTCTCAAATATTCTGCTGGGAGAAGTACTTATGCTCTAGATAAACGTGGAATGGGTAAAATATGGAATATATTCAGATTCTTTTATCTAGTTGTGTACTTTTAGAGAAAATGCAAATTAAAATCTATGCATACAAATATCACAGTATAATAAATACTAGAGACAACCTAAATATCCAACATAAGGCATTAGTTACATAATGAGTCATATGACAGTCATTTAAAATGATACTTAGTGAGACTGGGAATATAAAGCCCAGAGACAGAGTTCATGCTCAGTGTGTGCAAGGCCCTGAGTTCACTCTCCAGGTCAGTAACGAACAAAAAATAAGAATTCCCAAGTTACCTATCCAGATTTAAGTGTCTGAGGGGGAGATGTGTATACCAGTGTTTTGAAGCCTGGCACACACCTGGGCTTCAGAAGAGGGTAGTCCTTTCTGTATGTGGCCTTGGCGTCCCACCTCAGTCAGGACAGCCTCTTCCCGCTCTGACACTGCCAGTGCCAGTGTCAAGTGCAAGCAGCACAGGAGGAGCGTGTTCCCACCAGCATGCCTGTGCCACTCTGCCGCGCCGGCAGCAAACAGCTCCACATGAACCCCTGGACCATGTCACCAACACGCCTGAATCTCCAGGTCCAACTTTCAGCCTGAATTTGCGCTGACCAGTTGTAGAATAAGTGAACAACTATTTTGATTCTTTTTTTCCTTTTTTTTTTTTTTTTTTTTTTTGAGACAAGGGCACTGCTGTCCAGGCTGGCCTTAAACTCAAGGGATGGAATTGCCTTGTCCTCCTGATCAACTGGGATTAACAGGCCTCCCAGTGCTGTTAGGATTTTCAAAAAGGGGTAGGGGGTCATTTAATGTGGAAAACTGACCAAACATCTTGACCTTCTCTTATAAAATGAGAATTAAAATATTTAAATATATATATATTTAAAGGCTAAAGAAAAAGGGTCAATAAATTTCAATGAAACCTTGAGAAGTGCACCGCTCATGGAGGGATGGTGATTGTAGAAGAAGGAAGTATTTTTTTTCTTTTCTTTTCTTTTCTTTTTTTTTTTCTTTATCGGTACTGGGGATCAAACTCACGACCACCCGGTTGCAAGGCAGGTGCTTATGCCACTGAGCTAAATCCCCAGCCCCGAACAAGGAAGTATTAAAATGCACCACACCCCGTCATGAATGTAATCCTCATGAACTTCACATACTAATTAGTATTTTTTAAAAAAGTAAAATTATAATAAAGTAAGCAATGGGAAAAAGGAGTATCAGCCTAGAAGCCCTTTAGGAGTCTCAGCAGGCCTCAGACTGAAATTACCAGGAACCACAGGCATAAAGCAAAGACACAAAGTCCGTGATCAGAACACTTAAAATCTTAGATGAAACCTTTCTCACCCCACACTGCAGAGGTAGGAAGCTCAGTTTTTAGAAGACGTAAACCAGAGAGCTAAGGACACCAGACACAGTGCACAGCAGGACCAGGCCTAACCCAGCCCAGCCTTCCCCAGCGCGGGACAGAACTCGAGAGAGAAACTGAATTCTCAAGACCGTCACACGCTGATGTTCTGGGGTTTCCCTCAAAGTCAGCTTTCAACCTCTACTGGCCCTCCATAATCAGCAGCGCACTCCCAACTCACATACTTGGTTTTTTAGTGCCAATTCCATCAAATTACACCAACCATAAGAGAAAACAGACCTGTAAATTTAAAAAATAATTAAGAGAGGCTGGAGATACAGCTCAGTGGCATAAGCACAAGGTCCTAAGTTGATTCCTGGTATCAAAAATATAAAATAAATGAAGATTTAAAAACAAGAGTCAAGGATAGGACACCGCAGTGGCAGACCACTTGCCTAGCATGGGTAAGGCCCTAGGCTCGATTCACAGTTACCCCTTCCACCGCCAGCGGCAAAAAATCAAGGCTATGTTGCAGAAGGTGAAACAGAGTAAACCTAGAAAGGGACAGAAAATTACACCCTCTGTCAAGAAGGTCCAAACATCTAGGTTGACGATGTCTAGTAAAAGAACTGAGAAAAGTACCAAAGAAATACCAAAGAGAAGAGTTGCCCAGGACTTAAAAACTGCGTTGATCCTCAATTTGGAAAGACCTAGAAGGTCCAAATACAATCAGTGAAGGCACATCACTGGTAAATTTCAAATCTCAAGAAATTAAGGGAAAAAAATCCCAAAAGCTCCTAAAGGTGGAGGAGGTGAAAAGAACAAAACAGACTTAACACTAAAATACTGAAAGTCAACAGCACGTGTTCATTTTTTTTTTTTTTTTTAATAACAGAATCTTGCGGGGCTGGGGATTTAGCTCAGCAGCATAAGCGCCTGCCTTGCAAGCAGGCAGTCGTGAGTTCGATGCCCGGTACCGATAAAAAGGAAAAAGACAAAAATAAAAATAAAAAAAAGTAACAGAATCTTGCTACAGAGCCCAGGCTGGTCTTGAACTCATGATTCTCATGCCTTAGTCTCTCAAGTACTGCAGTTACAAGCATGCGCCATCATACCTGGCTTATACTTCAATTAAAAGGTCCAACTGAGAAGTACAGCAGGACAGGCCTGTAACCCCATCATTCTGAGAGGCAAATCACAAGTTTGAAATCTAGCCTAGGCAAGAACCTTACTCAAAAGAAAGGCTAAGGATACAGGTCAGTGCAGAAGCCCTGGGCGTAACCCCACGCCACCAAAAAAAGGAAAGGGAGGGAAGAGAGAGAGAAAAAGAAAAGAAACAGGTACAGAGAAACTTTACAAATTTCAAAAACAGGCAGTTTGTGAGAAACAAAAAGTAATTTCAATGTATTTTCTAAACTCAGTATATTTACCCCAAACATAATATGAATATTAACTTACCCAGGTTTAATATATAAATATGACAGAGAATAACAGAAAAGAGAGATGGGAGGGGCTACTGTAAGATCTAGACCTCAACCACTGTAAGAATATAAAACTGTCTAAAGTTGGTATCTTCAGAAAAAAGGCATTCTAACATTTTATTTAGAAATACAGAGATTACATTCTGGCAGAGTTAAACAAAAAGCCTGGTGCTTCAGTGGCATAAGTGCCTGCCAGGCAAGGGCAAGGTCCTGAGTTCGACTCCCTGTAACAAAAAAAAAAGGTCTGGTGCTGTGGCATGTGCTTTAGGCCTAACTACTCAGTGGCAGACCACTTGCCTAGCATGGGTAAGGCCCTAGGCTCGATTCAGTTACCCCTTCCACCACCAGCGGCAAAAAATCAAGGCTATGTTGCAGAAGGTGAAACAGAGTAAACCTAGAAAGGGACAGAAATTTTTTTTTTATCGGTACTGGGGATCAAACTCACGACCACCCGGTTGCAAGGCAGGTGCTTATGCCACTGAGCTA